TACATGAGTTCTGTTAAGGAGTGATGGGTCAGACTGAAAGTGGGGTGATCCTCTGAATTCTCATGTGACTTTCCCAAGGACTGTAGCTGACACTTTGTTCACACTTTTAGGATCAATTTACAGTGCCATCAAATATCACTAAAGGATTGTGCCACTTAGGCTTTTTAAAGTTAATTTTTTTTGATTTTATGTATATGTATGTGAGTCTGTATGGGTATTGACACATGTATGGGAACCTTCAAGTGACACAAGGAGTTGGATCCCATGAAACCAAGGGTTGTGGCTGTTGTTTTTATTTATTTATTTATTTTAGATCTGTTTATTGCGTATACAGTATTCTGTCCTGCACGTATGCCTACATGCCAGAAAAGGGCACTAGATCTCAGTACAGACGGTTGTGAGTTACCATGTAGTTGCTGGGAACTGAACTCAGGACATCTGGAAGAGTAGCCTGTTCTTCACTGTTCTTCACTGCTAAGCCCTCTCTTTCTCTCTCTCTCTCTCTCTCTCTCTCTCTCTCTCTCTCTCTCTCGCTCGCTCTCTCTTTCGCTCTCTTTCTCTCTCTTGCTTTCTCACTGTTTTTTTTTTTTTGTTTTTGTTTTAGTTTTTGAGACAGGGTTTCTCTGTGTATCTTCAGAGCCTGTCCTGGAACTTGCAATGTAGACCAGGCTGGCCTCCAACTCACAGAGACCTGCTGGAATTAAAGGTGTGCATCACTGACACCCAGTGGTTGCTTTTACTGTTTTTGCACTTTTATTTGGTGGGGGGCTGCCATCCAGCTTCCAAATAAACACATACACTGATGCTTATTCTTTCTTATGAATGCCCTGCCTTAGCTTAGCTGGTTTCTAGCCAACTTTTTCTTTTTCTTTTGGTTTTTCAATACAGGGTTTCACTGTATTGCTTTGCAGCCTGTACTGGAACTAGCTCTGTAGAACAGGCTGGCCTAAAACTCGAACTCACAGAGATCCACCTGCCTCTGCTTCCTGAGTGCTGGGATTAAAGGTGTGTGCCACCAATGCCTGGCTTAGCCAACTTTTCTTAACTTAAATTAGCCCCTCTACTTTTGGCTCTGGGCTTTCATCTTTTTTTTTTTAATTTTCGTTTTACATACCAACCCTAGTTCCCCCTTCCTACGCCTTCCACCATCCCCCTAGTTCCCCCTTCCTACGCCTTCCACCATCCCCACCTCCCCTTCTCCTTACCACTCCCCATCCACTCCTCAAAAGGGGTAAGGCCTTCCTTGGGGAATACCAAGTTGAGGCAGGACCAAGCCCTTCTACCCTGGTTGAACAAGGTATCCCACCACAAGGAATGGGCTCCAACAAGCCAGTTCATGCACCTGGGATATGTCCTGGTGCCTTTGGCAGCCCACACACACACACACACACACACACACACACACACACACACACACCGACAGATCAAGTCCCACAACTGTTATCCACATTCACAGGGTCTCTAATTTGGTCACAAGCAGGTTCCCCAGCTGTCAGGCCATGAGCTACCACTAGCTTCGGTCAGCTGTCTCTGTGCACTTAGGGGTTTTTTTATTATTTTTTTTTCTGTATATCTTTTTCTTTACTCCTTTCTCCATGGCTTCCTAGGTAGCTTCATGGCTGTTCCCTGGAGTCTTCCTCTCCTCTTTTTCATCCTCCTATTTATTCTCTCTGACAGCCCCACCTATCCGTTCTCCAGCCTAACTAACTAGTGGCCGTTCAGTTCTTTATTAAACCATTCAGGTGTTTTAAACAGGCAACATAACACAGCTTCACTGAGTTAAACAAATGCAACACATCGTTGCATCATTAAAACAAATGATATTCCACAGCATAAACAAATGTAACACACCTTAAAATAGTATTCTACAATACATGACCAAGACAATTAGGAGTTAGCAGACCTGTAAATATCATTATATCTCTGTACAATTTTTATCAGTCATCTTATACATGCATTATATAGTCATTGTTCAATGTAAATACAAAAGCAGGTTGGGTGTGGTGGCACATGCATTTAATCCTAGTGCTTGGGAGGCAGAGGCAGGTAGATCTCTGTGAGTTCCAGCCAGCCACGTCTACAGAATGAGTTCTGGGCAACCAGGGGTACACAGAGAAACATTTTCCACTTTTCTGTTTTGAAATGATGACTGCTCTTTGGATAACCAAACAACCAAACAAAAAACATTTAATGGTAGCTCTAGAGGGACATGGGGTCCTCCTAAGATGAGTATAATTGATATCCCTAGCATTCAGAGAAAGTATCATGGCTGTAAGTAGCCACAATGTGGCTCTTGAAAGGACATAGTCCCTTCAGTTTCATAACACAAAGGTTATGATACTATCTGACTATCATGGGTTTTTTAGGCTGTGGTCTAAACCATGTGACCTTCTCTGCACTCTGCTAAGTGCTTGTACAAAAATAAAATAAATATCAATTAATAGCCAGGTGTGGTGGTGTATGCCTTTAATCCTAGCACTCAGGAGGCAGAGGCAGGCAGATCTCTTAAGTTGGAGGCCAGACTGGTCTAGAGAGCAAGTTCCAGGACAGCTGGACTACACAGAGAAACCCTATCTCAGAAAGAGTAAAATTTAGAGAAAATAGAATGATATATCTCTCATATAATCCACTGCCTGAATGAAATATGCATTCAGACTGGTTCCTTCCAGGGATGACCGGGAAAATGAAACTGCTGGAGAGGTCTTGGTTGTAGTTTTCCTCAGTTTGGGTTGGGTACAAAGAGCATACTTTAGATTACAGGGAAAATGGCCTCCACCTGCCTCTTAATCACACTCAAACCAGGGAAAACAGAGGGTAAAACAGTGGCACACCTGACTCAGCAGCACTGTTAAACAGTAGCATGTTAAATCTTTGGAGGCTGACATGGGCTCAGCGAGTAAAATGCAGTAATAAATACTTGGGAAACTAAGATTCCAAAAAAAAAAACTCTGCCTCCAAGACAAAAGGAAATCACAAGTTAAGTGCCATCTGGCTGAGGATGACTAGGATTCTTCTTTTTCTCACAATCGTCACAAAACTGATGCCCACAAACAACACAGTAGCTAGCTCCAGTTACCTGTTGGAGTCTGAAAACACAGAGACAAGGCATGGGTGATATGGGCTTGGTGTGTTTGTGAAGTAGGCTCAGTTGGGAGCATCTCAGGAGAATAGCTCAAGGGAATGAATGGAGCTGTGGGAGCTTCGATGACATCTCTACTTCATGCCCCATAGGGACCCCCAAGTTTCCAGTGGTCAGGTAGACTTGTCAGCACTGCTGACAGAAGCAGAGTGGAGCTCAGGACAGAGAGGGTCCCTCTAGCAATCAGTGAACACACACACACACACACACACACACACACACACACACAAGACAGGATTCTCTGAATAGTCCTGGCTGTCCTGGAACTCTGACTGTAGACCAGGCTGGCCTCACAGATCTGCCTGCCTCTGTCTCCAGAGTGCTGGGATTAAAAGGAACCATGCTCATTAAATCCCTGGTATTTTATTCTGTCAATTCTCTTTGAAAATCAAGAAAGTTAAGATGCCATGGGTTATTGACCTATACAGAGATTTGTTCAATTATGCTACGAGGTCATGGACACATTGAGAAGTATAAGACTAAGCAATATAGTCTGCTTTGCTACTATTTGGGGTCTGTATTACAATGTACACTCTGTCTGTTGACTGAGGACTAGGCTGTGTCCCTGTGGGCAGCAAATATAAAAACATTACTTCTTGGAATTGAGAAATGAATAAAATTCAACTTATTGTTGAGTGAGGATTTAGATTTTTGTTGGTTGTTATTGCTATTCTACATCTGCTTACTAAGAAATCAAAGATTTCTACTCAAATAACGAAAGTATTTTAAAAATAAAATAGGGTGATGGTTCCATAATGTTAAGAACATACTAAAAGCTCCCTACTGGAATGCATACTTTAAAAAATTGAATTTGTTACATAAGTGTATTACATTTCAATACACATCATTATTTAAAAAACACATTTACTTCCACACACACACACACACACACACACACACATATATATATATATATATACACACATATATATAAACATAGATTTCCTTTAAATCTTCATAACATTATAGACTATTTCTGCTACCTTGAGAGATACTCTCCTCCATCCTGGTCCCCCTTATTAGGTACCAAACCTCTGTGGATAAAACCTAAGGATAAAAAAAAATAGGCAGAATAGATGTTTATTCAGGGAGAAATAACTTACAACCTAGACAGGCGAACACCAGCAAGTTCCAAGGATGCTCTCCCCTCCCTTTCTTGCCAGCAACAGAGCCTTCCAGGGCTCCTCCTCAGACCTAGTTCTCCCAGTTACTTCCCCTCATGGCACCCCCACCCCCCCATGGGCGTGGTCAGGCCACCGAAGCAGACAAAGTGAATATCTCACTAGTTATTCCAATTGATGGTTTCATATCAGAATGTTTGAACTAGCAACCTCCTAAGAGAAAACACACAATATTTGTCTCTTTGGGTCTGGGTTCACTCACTGAGGACGAATGTTTTCCTAACACCATCAAGCCAGGCTTAAGAAGCTTTTCCTAGGGCTTCCTGACTGTAAGGGCCAGAACCATCTCCAAACTCCCCTCTGTGTTCTGTTTTTGAGTTCATGAAGGTAGGTGTACTCTAAAATTCCAATTAACATTGCTTTGAACGTGTGCTAAGCATGGTGGGCTCTCGACACTGGAGTCAGACATGGACATGCACAGATCCCAGGCACGTTAGGACAGCGGTTGAGCCTCATTGTTCGCTCACACCATGTCACAAGGCCACGGCAACTGTGTTGCTGAGGAAGAAACAGAGTTCAGCTCACACTGAACCAAGGACCTGTCCTAAAGAGACGCCCTTGTGGCCAGTGGGGAGACTAAACCGAGTTTCAAATATTTAGTGTGTGGTTTGGGAGGCTTCAGGTGGCTAAAGTAGAAGGCAGGGAGAGCAGGGAAGGCAGGGAGGGTCCTGAGGATCAACATGCAGGAGGATTTCGATTACGATGCATATACTTATGAAGCTCCTAAGCGGGCTCGCTGGTACACCCGCCTGCTGCCAGCGTGCCTGAGGCGTGGATGCCTGTCTAATAAAAGGCAGGCATTTCCCCTCTACTTAATCGGGTACGACCCTGTGGGGCAACTGCAAAGGGCGGCCAGCGTGGGTGATGTGGCTTCAGTGGAGAGATTCATCAACTTCCATGGATGCCATGTGAATGAATATGACAGGAGGGACAGGTAATGGGGCCTGAGGAGGGGTGAGGGGCAGGTGGGGCAGGAACTGTTGTGGACAGTCAGTGCCAACCAGGGAGAAACACACCTTTCAGGATTGCAGTCTAAGGGAGTGCAGAGGTCATGCTTAAGGCTCTTCTTTCATGGAGCTGTGGAAAATTTTGTGCCTGTTTTCAGCTCCTAGACATCAGGCAGCAGCAACCTTGGAGTGGCAGCTCATTGGCCTTCTTTAACAACAGCAAAACAAAGAATTTCAGTTAGTTTACAACTTTTCAATTGTCTCTCAAGGCACATTATTGGGCGCTTTAAAGTGATTTAGCTAATAAAACTATAGACATATTTTTTGTGTGTATACTTACAATTTTTGAGATTCATGTATGTGAGTGTTTTGCCTGCATGTATTTTGAATGTACCACAAGCATCAGAAGAGGATGTTGGATCTTCCGGAACTGGAGCTATGGATAGTTGTGATCTGCCACGTGGGTACAGGAAATCAAACCCTGGTCTCTTACAAGAAAAACTAGAGCTACTAAATGCCAAGCCATCTTGGCTTTAGGGTTAGAGTTAAAGTTACACCCAGGAATAGACCTCAATATTACGGTTAGCATTGGGGTTAGGTTAGGTTTAGGCCCAGGAGGGTTAGACTCAGGGTTCGATCCCAGTGTTAGGGTTAGGATTTGGTTTAAGGTTAGCATTAGGATTAGACCCAGGGTTCAGGTTAGGGTTAGACTCTCAGGGTTAGACATAGCCCGGGCTGTTATATCCAAATCATGAAATATGTTTTCATATACTATGTCAATGTTAAGGCACAAAAGAATGTCTCAAAGAAACCTTATATTTCTATATGGAATTTCTATAAGGAAAATTTCTATAAGGAAATTTTCCACTGGAACTATGACTTTGCCCCTGTCCTCCTTGAATACATGCTGTGTGTGCATTGCAACATATGTGAAGGCTAGCGATTGACATTCTTTTTCTTCAGTTGCTTTGCATCTCCTTTACAAAGTCATATATGTGTGCAATGTGCCACACACATGTGCAGGTATGTGTGAAGGTCAAAAGAGAATTAGAATTGACAGTTGTGTTCTGCCACATTGTGTGTTCTGGGGGTTGATCTCAGGTTATTTGCTCTTCGGGCAGGTTCCTCCACATGTAGAACCGTCATGTGGTCCCTAACCTCAGGTTTTGAGACAGATTCTCACAAAGAAATTCTCACTGTGTTTGATTTTTTGTTTTGGGGTGTACTTATATCATCTAGACTTGCAGGCAAGCAAGCTTTGGGGATCCTCCTGTATCCACCTCCCCAGCAGAACTCTATGAAGTTGCTGGGTACTCTGAACTCAGGTTCCCAGCATTCAGGCCAAGTCTATAAGCAACTGAGCTTTACCTATGACCCCAGCCCCTTTCTTCTCACTCATTTCTGATTTCACACTAGGTTATAAAGAGAAAAACAATGACACCCAACAGTACATTTTCCATAACCCACAAGCTTCTTGGTCATTTCTGTAGTTCGGGAGGGATTACTTATTCTTCCTAATTTAGAGATTCCTGAAATAATAAAACAGTAAATTTCTTTCAATATATTCTTTGCTTAACAAATACATTCTTTGACATCATTGAATTTTCCAACTATGCTTATCCATTCTATCACTACTTTCATTCCCCACATGTGACTGAGCTGTCTACTGTACAGCAGAACACATTCTACTATTACTCCAGATCCTCACATTCTGAAAACCTTTCTGTTTGTCTCTCCAGTCAACATTCCTTGCATTCTATAAATTTAATGTTGAATAAAAGGAACCATGCTCATTAAATCCCTGGTATTTTATTCTGTCAATTCTCTTTGAAAATCAAGAGAGTTAAGATGCCATGGGTTATTGACCTATACAGAGATTTGTTCAATTATGCTACAAGGTCATGGACACATTGAGAAGTATAAGACTAAGCAATATGGTCTGCTTTGCTACTATTTGGGGTTTGTATTACAATGTACAATCTGTCTGTTGTCTGAGGACTAGGCTGTGTCCCTGTGGGCAGAAAATATACAAACATTACTTCTTAGAATTGAAAATTGAAAAAAAAATTCAAATTATTGATGAGTGACGATTTAGATATATGTTGTTTGTTATTGCTATTCTACATCTGCTTACCTTTCATCACCTTAAGGGCTAAAATTTACACAGATACAAGTGCCCTAAAGAATTGCCATTCGTTTGTGAATTGGGTCATTTTTCATTTGATGAAAGGCACAATGGACTACATGTTAACCTTTTATTTTTTATATGAGTAAAGTTGAAAAATGTTGTGAATTGTAGTCATAAAATATCATGAATTATAAAATGGCAGAGATGTCAGTGATGCAAAAATGTGAAGTAAAGTGTAAGGTAGGCCAGATGCACTGGCTTGCAATCCTACATACTGGGAGGATTACCAAATTCAAGGCCAGCTTAGAGAGTATAGTTTTAAAATATTGAATACTGAATTTACTAAAACAATTTTGCATCCAAACAGTAGGTAGATTTAGTGTGCTTGTTATCAACAGGAAGACAAATGATTGTTGTAGCCACCAAGCACTGAACTCTCACGTGATGGAAACATGTGTACAGGCTCTTTAAGATGCAAATTGAGGCATCACAGTAGCAGTGTGCAAGATAGCTAGTGTGGAATCCCCATTCTATGGATGGAGAAATTGATTATGGAGCTCACAGGAAGCCTGGGTAGTAACTATTAACAGCGATTAGAATAGGTTTCAATCCAAGCTGAGTTCAATCTATCTGGTGGTCTTCTGTTCTCTAGACAGGCTGTTCTGAGGAAGGAAGAAGCTTGTGGCAGAGCACCTGCTTTGAATTGTGCAGCCATGCACTATATCCCCAGCAGAGCAAATGAACCCCTTGAGTGGAGAAAATTAAAGTTACTTCTCTTACTTCAGAAGCAAGAGAACTTTGCTATCTGGAATTATACTTCAACGTGCCTTTGCACAGTAATCCATGATTTCCTAAATTGTTCTCTTAATTTGCAGAACGTCCCTACATTATGCCTGTGCCCATAATCACCCAGATGTCGTAAGATTGTTGTTATCCTACAGAGCCAATATTAACATCCGTGATGATGAAGGCTGTACCCCCTTGATTAAGGTAGGTATCTGTCAACAGTTCGGGTATGAAATGGATTAGATCTGGTCCTTGTTTGGTTTTTGTGGCTGTGGTCAAATATTGACCAAAACCTACTCAGGAAATAGAATGATTATTTGCCCTATAATTCCACATAACAGTCCATCATGAAAGGAAACCAAGGCAGGCGTTCAAATCAGGAACCAGAGGCAAGAACTCAAGCAGAGACCATGGTGCTGCTTTTCCATGGATTTTCTATGCTACTCTGGACCACTTGCCTGCCGAGTCATGCCAGCACCTCCAGGAAGCTGTACCCTCCCATGTCAACTCAAATAAGAGAAGGCTCCACAGACCTCCCCAGAGTCCAGTTTGATAGAGCGAATTATTCAAGTGAGAATCCAATTTTCCAGGTATCTTCAGTCTGAGTCAAGTTATCAAAACAAGTGAACAACCTAATCCACTACAACAACAACCAACCACTGCTGGTGAAATTGTTTAATGTCTAGGTGTGGTGGCATAACCCTGAACTTCTACCATTTTCAAAGTTTGATGGTGATATTATGAATTTAGGCAAGCTTGGGTTTCTTAAGAAGACCCAGTCTCAAAAAGAGTAGGACAGTATGTATAACCTAATCATTTTGTCTGATCTAAGGTGAACTATTCAATGCAATTGTAAGAATGTTGATCCTGACTTTCTTGAATTGAACATGTTTTTTTTTTTTTATACTATACCCACAGGCTACCCAGAGAGACAATGTGGAGTGTGTTTCTATATTACTGACACAGGGAGCTGATCCACATGTGAATGATCTCAGTGGGAATACAGCCCTGCACCATGCTGTTTGCAGGGGTAACACAACAATTGTCAGCAAACTGCTTGAATACAATGTAGATATTGAAGGCAAAACAGAGGTAAAGATCAGTCAACTTCATTCCCATTGTATTTCCAGCGATAACAATCAGATCCACTTTCCACATTCCAAATCTCAAGTGGTCTCACTAAATCTGTCAGTGTAAAACATTTTCTCCACGTAATACTATTCATAGTTTTGTAGGTAGTTTAAAGGAACACGTCACTGCATATTTTGTTTCAGAATTGGGTTTCATTTTAAAATTAAGCAAATGACAGATTCATGCCCATACACACTTCACCTACACAGAAACAAAAAAATGAATTAATTGTAAGGAAAATGTCTGTAGAACGAACAGAAATCTGTTGTAAATAAGATAGTGATGTGATTTGTCTCTCAGAGGCGAGCCTAGAGTGGAAAACGAGAAAGGTCACAGGCACTCAGGCAAATTTGCAAATTTGATCATTGAGGAGGATAGTTTTTATTTAACTGTTCCAAACTTTCTAAGTACATAGTGAAAGGTCCAAAATGTGACACCATCTTAAACAAGGAACAACTCCATTGTAATAAATGGCATAAGCTTGAGTCCATGAAGGCCCTGAGTCAAGTTTATCCAATATTCAAAGCAGTTCTCAACCTGTCCTTAATAAGGCTGGGATACCCAGAGATGCAGTATCTGGCTCCTATTGAACACAATGGAGGAAACTGTTGCTAGCTTTGTCCCATCAACATGTGCCCAATATACCTGTTCCCTGCCTGACTGCCCAATTAAAACAAAGATGCTTAGAATTCCCCAAGTCTCTTTAGGAAGGCCTGTGTGCCTTATCCGGATCCTCATCACTATTTTAGATGACTGATTGACCCCTGCACACTGTCCATTTCTGCAGAATAAAGGTTCTTTGTGTGCACATACTATTTGAGTCTGGGGGCTTTCTCCAACAGATCCTTGGACCACTACAATAGGAAATGTTAAGTTTGGGAGATAATAATTCTTGGTATAGGGAAGAAAGTTTTGAAAAACAGATTGAGAAACTCTCCAGAGATGCCACTTGAGCTCTGTCATTCAACAGAGGCACAGCAAACCTACACTCCATGTTTTAGGCTTGGGGCAATGGAGGCCCATCTCTATGGAGCTAAGAAGCTTGGAACCAGGGATTGTTTGTGGAGAGCTCTAGAGAGGATTGGTATTCATAGGCGATGTTTAACAGGGGAAAGGTGTGTCAAAGGGAAGGGGGAGGCTATGTGTGTGTGAAACTGTAGCAAGGACAGAAGGAAAACCTATCCTGTTGCTGACAAAACCTGTTATAATTTTTCTTTTGAGAAAGAAATTTGAGAATTATAAAATAATTCTTTTTTCTTTGCAGTATGGCTTGACACCATACAAGCTTGCATTATATGAAAACCAACACGAGATGGCAGAATTTTTTAATTCAGAACGGTGCTAATATACATTCGGAGGTTAAGTCAAAGAGGTACTGTTTCTTCTTTGTTACAATCTTAGTGCTGTTTCTGAGCGTGACATTTGCTTAAGAAGGGCTACTAACATGATAGGAGGAAGACTGGTTCAACTCAGAAGCATATATTGAGAGAGCCCAGCACACAGGGAGTGTGAGCAGGAAAAGGGATTGTTCCAACCAAAACAAAAGAACAGTGTGTACCAGGGCTGAGCTTCCCATTTAAAAACAACAGTTTGCCATTCGCAAACTGATTTTTATTGCTGATTTTCCATTTAAAGCAAATTTGCATTAATCATGTTTACTTTGAAAAGTGTTAAGTTTATTTTTGATAGTGAAATTTATAATAATTTTAGTGAAGTCTATTTTTCATTCTGTTTTTTATATGTTTCTGTAATATACTATGGTCAACAGATAGAGTTTTTGCTGACTTCCTTCACTGAGGGACTATAATGTGTACATACATGCCAAATTAATCTTTTCATTCCCAAGTTGATTTTGATCATGGCGTTTCATCACAGTAGTAACAGTTCTAAGTAGGACATTTGGTGTTCACGATGAGTTCAGCATTAAAATGGAAAGTATTTTTTTTTTTTCTTTTTGCCCATTATGTCAGTTTATAGTCAGATGATCTAAAAAGTAAAATCTTTTTTTTTTCAAGAAATAATTGTGTGTGTGTGTGTGTTTCTGTGTGTGTACACTTTAATTTTATTAAAAATAACTTTTGTAAATTCCATATATTCTGATCATAGTTTTACCATCGCTAATCTGCATGGACTTGCTTTTCTGTCAGAGGACATGTATACTCTGATATTCCTATCCACGTCTCATGACAACAGTGTGTGATGATATATATTGTCTTCCAACGTTTTAAAGCAAAGCTTCTACTTTTCTTTGGCACTTGTACACTTCTCCAGACTAGCACATTGGGGAGCCTCTTTCGAATTTTCCTATCTCAACCTCCCATTCACTATAAAAGTAATGGGGTTATAGACACATTGCAGTGTCTGGCTGTTTCTTGAGTTCCAGGTACTCAAATTCTAGACTAGTGTGACAAGTAAGTGTACCTGCTGAGACATCTCTTGGACCCTAGAACCCACAAGTTTTAGAAGTAGACTTTGAAGCTAAATTAATGTAGTTATTATGAGCATATTGCTATTAATCATGGAGCTGAGGCTACTAGGTACAGAACACTTTCAATTAGACCTCTGATCCTCTTAGTTGGCCTAACTGTATTTCTCACTAATGAAGGCCATTTAAGGTATTTATGTCTCATTTAGTACAAGATAAACAGAAATTGTACAACTATCACTTTTAAAGCATGCAAGGGAAATGTTTGTGTCTTTGACATTGTATAGCATAGACTTCATGATTGGGGACCTGGCTCAGGTATTAAATACTTAACACATAAAGCAAAGAATTCAGAGTTCAATTCCTCAGAACTCAGAAAGGGCCTGATATGCTAGTGTGCATCTTTAATCCTAAGGAGCCACCAGACTGCCTGGAAACATAGACCTTAGGTAGCATGCTTATACAGTTGTTAACAACAAGAGAATCTGCCTCACAACCAAGGAGAAAAGGACTGGCAGTCAAGGATGCACATACACATGTGAACAGGAACACACATTAAATATGGAGATTAAAAAGTAACATTAGATGGGAGGGGAGGGTAGTCAGGATGCATGTGGGGGGGAGAAGAGGGTAAGAGGGAAGGCAGGGAGGCAGAGAGGGAGGGAGAGGGAACTGGGATCGACACATAAAATAGTAATAATAATACAATTATGGAACATGTATGCTATGTATATTATATTTAATAAAAATTTAATTTATAGAGTATGGACCATAGCCTGGTAGTATAACAGATGCTTAGCAAAAAAAAAAAAAAAGTAACATTAGATCACTGATTTAATAAGACTGGGGATCATTATTTGTGAAAAGACAGTGAAGATAATGGTCAAAGTTGAAGGATCCCTACAATTTCCTGGAGATTGTCAGCAGGGGTGGTCTCAGCATGACACACAAAACTAACTGAACAATGAAACAACTAGGTTAAGGTTTCAGCATTCACCATAAATGAACTATTGAAGCCATCTTGAAAGTACCACAAATGTCATGGCTTTCAAGAATGCATGCAGAGGGACACATACAAGCAAAAAAAAAAAAAATACTTCATGACATACTGAACATCCCTTATGTAGAGAGTATAGCAATCAATGAAATGCCTCCAAAGAATCATGCCAGATATATGGCTGTGGAGCCTTATGGTCACGTCAGCACATGAGTGGAACAAGAGCACTAACTCCCTGAGCACAAAAATACAGAGGCTATGGAGCCATCAAAACAAAACCGTGTTAAAAAACCACTGCTCTCTTGTGTGTGTGGCAGGAGAGGATTGTTTTATTCAAAAGGTAAATTATGTCTGATTCTTCTCTATGAGAAAAGATGGAAAGGGACAGCAGTCAATAATACTAACCAACTACTGTAGATTGAATTCAGTGATACTTGACTAGGCCTCTTTGGCCAACCTTTAATCCTAGAATTTGGGAGGCAGGAGGCCAAGAGACCTCTGAGATTTCAAGGCCAACATGTTCCAATGATGGGTCTAAAGCCAGGTGGGCTACATAGGGAGATCCTGTTTTAAACAATATTTCTAAATATCTAATTTAAAATATATTAGGAACTCCAAAAAAAGAATTTAGAAATCATGCTGTTTTATATGCATATTAAAATAATTACTTTAAATAAATGTCACAGTATAGGAACATCTACAGAAGACCTAGAACAGAGAGAAAAAGAGCATGAAAGACTCAACAATGGTAAGAATTTTATAGTGCATTGTTCTAACTGGTTTTACCTTCCCCAAAGAAAATATGAAAGACTAAAGATTTTAGCTCCCTCAAAAGGAGTTAAGGATATCAGCTATAAACACAGTTATGGTGTACTAATCACTCTGGAAAGTGAAAAACTGATTCAGAAATGAATTCAAAAGCACATTTAACTGTGACAATATATTGTCAAAACATTTTGTTTATTTGAACTTCATGCAGATATCTCAACTGTTTTTGAATAAATGAGAAAAATTAAGAGCACATATCCACCATAGTCGCATTGTTAGAAACTATGGTTTTCCTTTAGTTTTATGACAAAATGACTTGTATTTTGTACTGCATGTATTTTTCACAGTTCAGTGACTCTCAAAGGTATTTATGTCTCAAACAAAACTACCGTATCCAATCACTTCCATTTCTTAATTTCTTCCTAACAATGTAAATAAAATCATGTGTCCTTTTCAATTGCTCAGTGATTTCTCAATTAGAGAGATTTGGCACACTCTATAACTGTTTCCATTGGTACTCGATATTAAAAGGGTGGAATTATTTTTCACATAGTCTTTCATAGCTAATGACATTGGAAACCATACTAGGGAGTGAATCCAAATGACCCTCTGTCCCTCAAGTGGGTGAGGTGAAGAGAATCGCTACTGCTGCAATGCAGGCACCTTTTCTTCCACCACATCATTATTAATTTTGTGGTTCCTGGCATTTGTGGTGGTGAGGACTGCCTGAGGCATCCTGCATGTTCAGCATAGCCTTCCCTACTGAGCCAT